TTTTGTTTTTTATGTTTAATATGTAAAAAAAAAAAAAAATAAAAAAAAAATAATAATAATAATTGTTATGACATTCAAAGATGTTTTATTTTTCCCCATAAGCCCATTATGCGATAAAAGTTTTAGTTGCGAATTATATAAGTAGAATATAATGTATATGTATATATTGTAAAAAAATTAGCAAACAATAACAAGTAAAAATTGCATTTAATTGTTTTAATATTTTATTCAATTTCTTTCTTATTTTTAATAATTAAAAAAGAAAAAAAAAGAAACGTACGTTCAGTCATAAATTGATCATAATTGACGTTGATTAATATAGATGTTATTTTTTTTAAAAAAGAAAACGATAATTACAAATGCTGACACAAACAACATAATGTTACAGTTTAAATAAATCATTCCAGTATGCATCTTTAAGTCCACTCACTCAATACAAACATCATTGCAAGGGGCGAACCATGGGCATCACGAGAGAATAGTAAGAACAAAAACTACACCCTTGTAAAGCTTAATCATTACCATCCTTCATTTCTAATGAGTTGCAAGTGTAGTCGGGTATTTTTGGTAGATAGTTAAAAGGCTTAAGGCAGTGGAAGAGGTGATGCTTTTTTGTATGTCTGCAGATGGGGCATATTGGTGTTTTCTCTGGTTTTACGCTGTTTAGATGAGAATTAATGTAAACGGACGACTTCCTATTGAGCCCATAGCCTATCCATTTGACCACGCTTCCATTTTGTTAGCTCTGACAATCTGCTTCTCTGTTTTGAGTGATGTGGATATGTTTGGCTGTCCAATGAATGCTAGAAATGTTTGTTCTCTCATTTCGTGATAAAGCGTTGGCCTAGCATCCGTTATAAGATACGCTTGGCTGCAAATGTTTCCCGTAAGGTGTTCATTTTTAGAATTTGTGATTGCTATTATGAGATCTTGGCGATGAGCTGCCCCAAAGTCTTGACTTGGAAACGGGGAAGATAAAGACGTTTCTTTGAGTGCTCGGATAAACTTGGAAGGTTGCAGTTCGGGGGTGTAACATCGCTTCAATAACAGTCACTTCTGCTTCATAATTACTGCAGATCGACCCATATCACGTGATCGTATTGGTTACTCTATTTGTACACCATAACACAAATTTACTGCTTCGTGCTATATATATATATATATATATATATATATATATATATATATNTATATATATATATATGTATGTCTATTTCTCTATATATATATATGTATGTATCTATGTATATGTATATATAATATACTCTGGATAGGTCGTTTTCATTATACTTTATATTTCTAGTTTTATTTTTCGATTAGGTCTGTTTTGATATCAGCAGTTTCTAAATGTTGTTTTTGGGATAGGTCTTAAAGTATGAATTGCAAGTCTTCTCCTTCTAATGGTAGATGGGGGACTCTCTTCAATCCTAGAGACAACCTCTAGTACAGTGGTTCTTAACCTGGGTTCGATCCGACCCCCAGGGGCTCGGTGAGTCAGTCTCAAAGAGTTTGTCGGAGGTCCAAAAAAAGAAGGGTTCGGTGAATGCGCATATGAAACTGGTGGGGTTCAGTTACTCCAACAAGGCTAAGAACCACTGCTCTAGTATCAATTTATGTTTCATGCTGTGGTTTGATCACCTTATTTTCAACCATTTGTCTATTTGGATGTTGATTGTCTAATTTTATTGAAATTTTTACTTTGGTAAACCTATATTAACCAAATTATTTAGCAACTATTACAATCAAGTTATACATACATACTGGTAAAAATATTTTTTTTTTATATTATTTTTAGAAGTATCTGGCTAACCAAATTATTGCAGTTTTAATTTGGTGCTGAAAGCAAGTAATCGAGTTGTTTTGTGCGTGTGTGTGTGCAATCTGCAGTTGGGCACGCTTCTGATCACGGTGATTCCTTAAATTCGATCACTTAATTTCTTTTAGCTTGGTTTGATGAAATGTGGCCACGTTACCATAAAACCTAATATCTTGCTCAGTGGGTGTCTCCCCCCCGATGTAATCGTACTGATGCTCGTCCTTGGCCAATGGGTAGTCTTTCTCACCGGGCGTCAACTTAGATTTCAAAGGGGCGTAACCCGATGGTGAATACGCCACGTTATCTGTGGAATTGTGAAATAGAGTTAAAACCTCTTTGATTTGAACATGAGTGAAACAGAAGTCATCCCAGTGAGACTCTTACATTGGAATGTATTGTTAACAATAGTAGGGATGTCGTGTTAAGCTGATACAAAGATGGCATCATATTGGTACTTCTGTATATATTTAAATATCTTTTTAATTGCTTTTATGTATTTATTTTTTACATTTCATTTTCTACATTAAATAAAAGACAGGTCATTTTTGAATCATTGAAATAAATTGCAGTTATTGTTTAGTCACTCTCAAAACAGTATTTCAGAGAAGTCTATTGTTTTATATCTTAGCGTTTTATGTCTTAACAATGATAATGTCTTATACGATTGCGTCTAGATTAATTATATAAACTTTTAAACGTATTTCAAATGTAGGGACTGTTTTAAGAGGGTAAATTACTTTAACAAATTCAAGTAAAACGTAAAGCAAAAACGAATTCAACCTTCTAAGGGGGTTTAATAATCAGGATATAGACAAAGACCCATGGTACTTTATATTACATATTACGTTACAACGTGATACAACACGATTACACCGTAATACAAAATTATGAAACATAATACAGTTGTTATTATTATTTTTTTTTTTGTTTACGGAAGGCTCTCACCATGTTTTTCCATGGGGTATGAGTCATAATCAGCAAGCCTAAATATCCAGGTGGGAAAAAAAAGACATGTTTTATATATTTAGAATATTAATCTTATTTTTGGGGGCATGTCGTAGAGAATTAGTTACCGAATTAAAACTTAAACTTATCATCACTATTACATAATTACTCATTTATATTATATGCTTTCAAAGAATCGCTAAGCATTAGAACGATTAAAATGGTGTCTTTGGTGTCAACAAAAATTAAAGTTAATTACCTGTTTATCGGTTGCATTCGTTTTCCTGAAAAATACAAATAAACATGATAATATAAATGTATTGCTTTTTGTAGATACAACGTGCACGCTGTATATTTTTCTTTATATGAATATTATATATGTACCTCATTCATCTCTGGCAGTGGATGAATTGTGTGTGTGCGTGTGATAGACAATAGAACAATCGACAGAGGCAAGTCTAAGCTGGGGGAGTGGGGATATATGTTAACACAAATGACGGTAACATGAAGGATAACAAATGAAGGACTGCGTCCAAGCGGTGTTAAGGATACAGTTGAACAATGTGTAGACATCGTCAGCAGTAAGGACGGATTAAAAAATAGGACTAGAAATAGAAACACGTTAGCATGAATAACATTACGGTGAAACACGTTACTTGCACACCCGATATTGAATTACTATGAATCAAGTTAAGGCCATATTAAATAATCTACAAAGGCAGATCACGCAGATCATCTTTATCCTAATTTACTTCCCACCTAATGCTAACAAGGCGCAGGCTGCTGGATGACTATTGGATATAATCCATCATTTTGAACTAAAATGACCGGAGTTAATTTCTCTTGTTATAGGGGATAAATCCATGGCAATATACACCCAGTATGTTACATGCCCCACTCTACGAGACCGGACTCTATACATGTCTTATGTTAATATAGAAAGGATCTGCACATCTCACAGATTATTCCAACAAGGAGAATCTGACCAACACAATCGTTCATCTAACGCCGCGTACTACAGACTAAATTTAAAAATTTAGTTTTAAAAGCTATTTAACTGTGATCGGGGTGACACAACATACAAAGTCGTAGGCTGTTTAAAAAGTTAAGACCGAGATGAATTGATAACAACTTGCCCCGACAATAATCAAATTATTCTCAAAATCAATACAATTATCCAATAATAACAAACTTTGGAATACCAGAGAAATAAGTACGTTCATACTTGACAACAACACACAAAAAAAAACTGTTTGAGACAAGTTAAAAAGGATTCACAAAAGCTAAAACATTACAGATGGGAGGAAAGATATCAAAGTTCAGCAATGTATTACAGCAAAAAAAAAAAATGTATTCCGTATAAACAGCTCAAAGGCTTGCTGGCTGGTCTAAAAAACCCAAACTGGACACCTAATGGTGAATGTTTATGTGTTGAGGATGTGTAGTACTTTGTAAATGACTTTTAAGCATTTGATTTTTTTTTATTGTCGTTTTGACAGGTATGGTGAATTATTGTGTCTCTTTTTACCTGTACATGTTATAGTACATTTCCAGCCATTAACAAATATTCAGTAGAAATGATTAGTGTTCAAACCTTTTCTTCTGCATACGATTATGCACGCTATCGCAAGTACTAGCAGTAAGAAGGCGGCTCCTGCTGCTGAGATGATATAGATATTCTGCAGTGACAGGAACGGCTTGTCGTCTTCTGAAGCTACAAAATGTGTATTATGAATATCTAAAATACAATTTCTGAAACTAAAAACAATGATAGTTTTATGATTCAGCTTTTACTCTTGTAAACTCTGAATTTAATTATTTTTTTTTTAACATTCCCTTTATTACGTTTATAAATTGATTATATTTTAATTACTCAATTCGATGACAAATAAATTGTCTCAGTGCATTTTTTTTTTATTTTTTATAATATGCTGTGCTTAGGCAATGTCATTAACAATGTAGTATAACAAGTATAGACCTTTCTTTGGTGTTTCCATACAAAAATATGTGTAGTTAAAGTGACAAGGGACGTCATTGGTCTCAAAGTTAACGAACACTACAACACAGTCCTCGTCACCTCCATAGTCGTTTGGCTCATCTTCTTCCCACAGCTTGACGAGCTCTCCAGCCGTTTGATTGCTGTGCACCCAAACAAACTTGCCTTCTTCTGCGATGTCACTGGCCCCAATCCATACTAAATTGTATAAAGCAAGTGCGAATTCATAATTATAATATATATTTTTTTCTTCTTTAAAAACAGCGAAACGCTTTAACTATTTATTATTAAGTCAACGAGACCTAAATTCATTAAAAATGATAAAGTTCCTTATTAAATTAACCGAAATAATAAATGTGACTTTGTTCATAATATTCCTAACAATCATCAGAATACAACTTTAGATTTTTTTAAAGAAAACTTACGAAATGCATATTTTACATAAAATACATCAAGTTTTGTTTTACTATTGTAGTATTTTTTTTTAATTATTTTAATTCCGTTTTCGCTTTGGTAACCTGTCCATTAAATTTGGATTTTTAAATTTTTATTTTAAAAGCTTTAACAAAAAGATATGCGTACTTTGTGTCCTATACAATTTTTCTGTTAAAAGATATGATATGTAAAAAACGATATAACAGTTATTAATGCAGATAAGGCACATGAAAGCTTAAAATCATCATTCTCGCTCTATCAACTATGAGTATGTCTGGTATGTAGAGCCGTAGTGTGAGCCATACCACCCACAGGACCTGCATATGATCTCAGTTATTCATGGTCCCTAAATTTGTGAAGTGGGAGGGGGTGGAATCTCGATATTATTTCAAATAGCATTACAGTCACAGGTCACTATGCTTTCATGGGGTTCTCTTAGGTTGGCACAAATTTAACTTCTTCTTATTATTCTTATTGTTCTTTTTATTATTATTATTATTATCATTTCGTTAAACATCATACATTATTTATTTTTTTAAACAGAATAACAAAAATTAATTTAAAAGAAAAATATAATAAATAAGCTCTTCCCTGGACCAGTTGGTTAAAAAAATGTTTATGCCAATCATTGATTGAAAACACAATGTCCTTAAAGTCTACTCCCTTTGTGACAAATAACTTATCCAAACGCTGCTAAAATTTTGAACAAGGTGTTCTATTATTGATCATTTATTTACAACAATTAAAAAAAAATTATTATTGAATTTTAAAAATATAAGTTTCAATTGCATCTTACGTTAATGTATAGTCATCTGTTTGGGGTCACGGGGCCTGGGGGGGGGGGGTTAATGGGGGTAATTATTTGATCAATCGAACATTTGCTTTGTTAAGGTAAGTGCTATCCGGGCGAGCCTTTTTCTTTACTTTTCCAAGAAAAAGTCTGCATTTGGGAAAAAATTTCACCCCCCCATAAAAGGAAAAAATTCCCCCAAGGAAAAAAGCCCCCCCCCCCCTAAAACCCCCCACCATTTGATGTAAAAATAGATTAGAAAGAAAGAGTAGAGGAGAAACAACCATAAAATGATAGAAACCTTGTGTCCCGATTCCTTGCCGGGAAAGCATTTCTTTAATCTGAATCATGGAGTCGACTGCAGCCAAGACTTGTCCTCTTCCCTCGCACCTAATCTGATTACACCAGGCATGTGAGAGCATAATTACAGTGATTTTATGAAAGCCACACACACACACACACACACACACACACACACACACACACAAAACGTTCGTTATAATTTGTTCTTAAATATGATTTTTTTTTTTTTTAAACTCTAAAATATCTCTAGCGAGCGGCATGACTTGTTTTATCTGTATTTATTTCTTATGTTTTATATTCCTATCCATTTTACTTTTCAGGTAACATTTAAAAACAGAACTCGTTTAGCATTCATCTTACATGAAGCCATTTTTTATTTTAATCCTGTCTCAAAGCACTGCCACCTTTTTTCTTCTTTTTTAAAACATGCATTGAATAATGTGTAGGTGCCGCTCAGCAACCTAAACAACTGCAAATTAAGAAGAATTAATTATAATGTTCATATTTCTTATGTAATAGAATTAGTAATATGTTGCTTTTTATTCTGTGTGTGTGTGTGTGTTTTTTTGTCTTCAGGAAAGTAGATCATAAACTATACAAATAAATGGAAAAGCTTCTTCTTCTTCTATATCTTAAGGGTCCACGACCAATTTATTGATCATTTTGGCTCCTATGCATGTAGATGGGATTTGCAATGTTTCTGTTACTGGTGTTGATGAGGAAATCATGCACTATGGGTTTGAAGGCTTGTGGCAATAGACACAAATGTATACCAAGATTCCTTAAAATTATATCACATTCGTTTGTCCATGGAGTGAGACGGTAAAGGTTGTGTTCAATGTTTTACCTGTAGTTTCAAAATTAAAGGAAACAGATCCCATAGTTTTGATTGCAATCAGAATATTCAAATGGGGAGATGATATTTGAAACATTGTTTTAGTTCAAGAGAAGAGCAACCACGATTGATAAAATAATTTGTTTGCTCGGCATTGCATAAAATGTATATGTATACTATACGTTGGTTGTGTACCAAAAGCGGTGGTCAGACGTAAACTTCAAGTAAAGCAAGTTATAACAATCTTTGTTAGTGCTTATTTCTGGGAATTTGTATTTCGAACGCCTATTGAGCACATCGTTACAGCCTAGGGAATAATTACTAACGAAGTATGTATATATATATCACTTGCATGTAAGATAAGATAAGATTCTTTTACTCATCCAAACAAATGGAAATGTCTTTGATTGCGTTGTACATTTTTAAGCACATAAAGAAAACACAAGACTTCTACATTAAATTATTTCACTAGTTAAAAAACAAAAGACATTCATTGACTTCTCATAGCCATATAAGTATATGTGTGTAATACCAATTGAACACCATAACACGGGTGTCCTATGCGCGAGGAAGCCATCTAGGCAAATTTAGGACACACTAGAATTTAGAGTAATCATCTATTAAGGCATACATTGGTCTTTTTGATATTCAGTGGTCGAAGGACAGAATACTTTTTGTCACCCAAGCCCAACCCTCCAACATCACGTTGTGAAATACGGGATTTTTTTCCCTAAGAATACATATGATAAATACACCAAATACAAATTTTAGTATTTGAATTGTGTTATTTTAAAACAATTGAATAATTCCGTTCTAAAAAGTACTCAATATTTTGTAAATACCTTAGCTTCCTGCCATGTAAGACTTTCATTATAATATGTGTAGCACCTGCCTTTAATAAATCGATCTGTTTCACCTGAACAGCTCGCCTGACCTGAATGGTGAACAGTAAGAAAATACTTAATAGCATTCGATAATCTAATACAGCGGATCTTAACCTGTGGGTCGCAAACCCTTTTGAGGTCGAACGAGCCTTACTCCGGGGTTGCTTTACGACCATACGAAAATATATATTTATGAAGAAGCAACGAAAAAATTTAGGTTTGGGGGTCACAACAACATGAGCAACTGTATTAAACCATCGCGACATTGGGAAGGTTGAGAACCACTTAAATAATCTATTTAATCCGATGACAGCTAATGTTAAAAGGAATCCAAAAACACCATAACATACCGTTCCCTGGTTTCCTTTGAAAAATAATTAGTTATACATTTACTTTCTAAACAATTTTGAAATGAGAATCATTTTAATTAGTAAAATAAATAATTAAAGCACACATAATTCAATTTACCTTTTGCTTTTTGTAACAAGCTGTCTACCACAAAGATCACGTGTATAATTTGTAGGAAAGTTGACTTTGAAAACTCCATCCCAAAGGTATTTTTAATAATACAATTACTTTATAAAACTTGAACAAACTGTCACCTAATTCACAATTTGCAGCAGCCTATACACTATGTGACTCATCACTGACCCAAGTGGTCTTTTCCTTAACCAACCGGACACAACGTTGATGCAACATTTATTGGTGCTCAGCCGGCACGCTTTAGGGTCGAGACGGCAGAGTGAGTGTTGAAGTGTTTCTATGTGGTGATAGGAACATGACTCACCGGCAGGGTCATCTAAGTCCAGCCCAAACCCATTACACAAGGACCGTACATCATATGATGTCACATACATATGGTATGATATATATATATATATATATATATATATATATATATATATATATATATATATATA